CATAGGCCCCATCAGAATTCTGGGGGCCTTGAAATAATGCCATGAGAGAAAATAAGGCCTTAGATCATAGGTGAAAAGAAATGGGAGACTCTAAAGTTTGCTTGGTTTCCATCCTACACTGTGCACTTGGAGAGAGCGTACATGTCAGCCCTTGTATTTTCCTTTTCTCCTTTTCAATAGAGAATTTTGATTTCTAATTAGAAGGGAATTAGCCATATTTGTTTTTTCTGGATGAAATTGCCCGAACATCACCAGTGCAGCCCCACCCCCACCCCATCAAAAGCCTTTTCTCCACATTTGATCTGTTTCTCAGAAAAGCCAGCTGTCTACCTGTCCTGTGTAGGAGGTTGCTAAATTGAGCTGTAAGATGATTTCTATTAAGTAAAAACTTAACGTCTACCAGCTGCTGAGAGATTATAAATCTTTGTTTTTTCAATAATTGGAAACCTTGTTTACAGAGGACCCACAATATTCTTGCAACGTCTTTGTGCTGAATATAAAAGAACGTGTGTTTATCCAGGCGGTGACAGTCTGACCATAAAGCCGGCTCGTTTACAGATTATGTTTCCTGCCCCTCGCCAGGCAGCTGACACCTCCTGCTTCTTTAAGCTTTGCAAAACGCTGAGGATTCTTCCTTAAAATTACGAGAATAAACTGGAAAATAAACCAGGTAGCTTGGAAGACAGAGACTTCTAAATTACAGAGAAATAGTTGAGAGAGGCCAATTTATCCCAAGTTGTCATGTGGGGACTCCTTGACAGGATTTAGTTCGTGGCAGAGGGATATTAAGGTGTTCAGTTCTGGCAAAGAAAAACCAAGGCTAACACAAACGATCGAATGTTTAAGCCAAGTGCTGATGTGCCATAGCCCATAAAGTCACTGGCGTTGGTTGGTATCCGCTCTGACAAAGCAGGAAGCCCGGGACTAAGGGTCTGTGTGGTGGGTGGGAAGCCAGTTGCTAGCTCTGTGACCTCAGGCTAACTGTTTAGTGGCTTCTCTGTAAGATAACAGCACGAGATAAACATGCGAACCCCTAAGAACAGTTCCTGGCCCAGAGTAGCTCCTCAATAAATGTTAACCTATTACCAACAGTGTTCCAGGCCTCACAGTTTTTATATGCATTATCTCATCGAATCTTCAAAACAGCCTTATTAAAATAGTGCATTTTTATAACTCCAGTTTTATTAGAAATTGAGGAAAAGGAGATGCAAAGAAGTTTAATAACCTACTCAGGGTCGCACGGCAATGAAATCTTCAGCAGGGCTGTGCGTCCGGGCTTTGCCTCGTTCTGTGAGCAGTGGGTACAGGCAGCCTTTGCTCTCGCAAACCTCGGGTACTTGCTACAACAGCTTGCAAAATGCTTGAGCCCAGATCCTTCTTCACAACTTGCTACAACAAGTTGTCCTGTGCATGGCAGCTTCTCAGCCTTCGGTGTATAAATGACCCCTTCAGAATGCTGATTCCGCTTTCTGACCAGCTCCAAGGTAATTCCCCTGCGGCTGGATGCTGGTCCCGGACCATACTGAGTAGCAGGGGAGCGAGGAGCTGGAAAGGGGGCCTCTCTCATATCTGTGTTCTCCTGATCGGCCTCATGTTTAAGTGTATTGGACATATATCCACAGTTTCTCCCTTTTTCCCCTGAGGATATAGCCCCTTCGTATTTATTTAGGCCTGGTACCTGGGGACACTACCAACCCTAGTCCAATTCAGAGAGTATCTTTCAAACCTTGGTCAATATTATTTCTTGTTTTTATTTTTACCTGAGGACATTTTTGCATTTATCTTCAGATAGAGCAGGAGGGTGGGGGGAGAGAGAGAGAAACATTGATGTGAGAGAGACACATAGAGTGGTTGCCATCCACACGACCCCAACTGGGGCCAGGGACAAACCACAACCAAGGTACATGCCCTTAGCGGGAACCGAACCCAGGCCTCTCTGGTCCATGGGCCGATGCTCTAACCACTGAGCAAAACCGGCCAAAGCAGCAATATTATTTCATTGTTTATTTTTATTATAGTACATGCTCAGTGTAGAAGCATAAAAAAAATTCCTTTTCTATTCAGCCATGGACTGCACACTACTGTACCTATGAATGACTCCATTAATTGTTAGACAATTATGTTATTGGTGTTTAAAAGTTTACATTAGTCAGAAATTCTATCAGATTGTCATATAGTTATTTAAAAGCGGTTTAGTAATATTTAAGAAACGGATTTTTTTACTGTTTTGTCTGGATCTAAGGACACCTTGAAAAAATGTGGCTGTTCTGTGACTTTTCTAAGGTTGTTCAACCGAAATTAAGCTCTTGTGTGGTTAAAAGCCTCGTGAAGTGTGGAGATGGAGGCTCTGTTTAGACTCCTGTGAGCAGAAAGTTTAGGGCGAGGAAGGGGTTGTTTGTTCGGTTTCAATCCCAGCCATTATTTCTCTCTTTAACACTAACAAGGACAACCATCCAACGAAGGGAAAGAGATTGACTCAGACCAGTGATCAGAGGGACGTTACCTCTGTCTCTCCTCTTCCCTTTCTGCCTCTCGTCTCTCCCTAGGTAGGGTTGCCAGGCGTAGAAAAGAAGAAATAAGAACAGGTGCCTAGTTAAGTTTGAATTTCAAATACACAGAGAATAATGTTTCAGTATATGTCTCCTGCAGTATTTGGGACAAATTCCATGCCCATAACCAGGTGTAGTCTGTCCCACACAATTCCGTTCTCTTGTTTTGTTTTCTCGTGGCTTTCCCATGCAGATTTGTCTCTCCATTAGATCCGACTGTCCTCTAGGCAGGATCTTATTGGGGCTCTCTCAAGGCGCCATCAACGTTGCCTTCCCTGTTTGGGACAGAGGCTGTGTTAGATTTCTGGAGCATTTCCTCCTGCTGAAAGTGCGGAGCACCCCAGCCCCTTGTTCCTTTCCTCTCACGCCTGCAAGGTCGCTTACTTCATGGACAAGGACAGGGCTCGGCACAGAGTCCTGGACAGAGTAGGCGTGCCATATATTTTTATGGTTGATTGATGAACTGAAAGCAATGTGTTGTCTGGAGAGTCGATTAAATTCAACATCCATGAACTAGTTACCTGCATGCCAGAACTCAGAGTGGGCGCTACCTGCCATGCTGCCCGTTTGGGGGGTTCCCTCGCTCTCCCCAGAGAAGAGGAGAAGAGGGGAGAGAAGAGGACAGAGAAGGGAAATGGGCTGGAAGCCACACGCAGATTTGCAAATGTGTGAGAATATTTTCATCATTTGCCTTATATGGCAATCACTTTAATCATCCTCTCAAGAATGCAGAGCTGTCTTGCCCATTACATGGTCCACTTCCACGGGCGTTTCGAGGACTGCATCTCTTCCAGGCCACGTTGGTGCTGCAGTCACGTAACGACAGTGTCATGAAAGAAAGAAAGAACTCTGAAAGCCAGTAGAATGATATACATGACAAAATGCTCACCTCATATTAAAAAGCGTGCCGGCACGTAGACGGATGGCACACATCAGCTAACAAGGTGACTTTTACACACTTCGCGCTTCTGTGAGCGATGCTTTGTGGAGCTCCCTTTGTAAGGGTACTGAGCGGGCTGCAGAGCCTGGAGACTGAGAGCCACGAATGCCCCTCGCAGGCCAGTGCTTTGCAAGTATACAATGCACAGGTGGGTACGCACATATTTAGAAGCGTCTAGATGACTCGTTTTATGCCAGTCAAGCTTGTCCAAGCAGGGCTGTGAATTCGGCCCTCAGATTCCTGGCTCCCCCTTTCTGACCCCTTTCCTCTAGTCCATAGCTCCCTGCTGCCCACTCAGAACCCCTGTGTCCTTTGGAGGGTAGAGGTAGGCCAATACCTTGAAGCCCCACCTCTTTGCTTACCTGTGAACCCTGCAGAGAAAATCCCTATTTGAGCCCTGGCTGGATGGCTCAGCTGGTTGGAGCATCGTCCCATACACAAAAAGGTTGCAGGTTCGACTCTTGGTCGGGGCACATATAGGAGGCAGCCAATCGATGTTTCTCTCTCACATCTCTCTCTCTCTCTCTCTCTCTGTCTACCTCACTCTAAAATAAATTTAAAAAACATATCTTCGGGTGAGGATTTTTAAAAAAATCAACTCCCTATTTGACTGTAGACAGAAATGACTACAAATAAAACAGCTGCAGGCTCATATTCCACTCTAGGAAATAAACACCAGCTTGCTGTCATAACCATCCATGAAAATTCATAACTTAATGTGGCTCCACCGTTTTCAGTGTCCCTAGAGTTAGGCGAGAACAGACGCTGAACGTGAGAATTCATGTTCATGTCTCCCCAACTCCAACACCATGAACATCAGAAAGTAAAGTTCTTGCGAAAGTAGATTATTCTATATGTGATAAAAATTCGATGTAATAACCCTAAAGTAGAAGGTGGAGATTGGAAAATCTTTTCTGAAATCCCTGTGATGTTTAGTCGAGTCATAGATCTTGTCCTCTGTATCTTATACTTCTGGTGTCAAGTAAATTTAGTCGTTAGTCATTTGTTGAAAAAATAAGGATGTTAGACTATTGATTTTACCTGGAAAGAGACCAAATTAAAGTTATTTTTTAAACCTAGGTGCACTCCTCATTTTTATTGTAAATACATAATGAAATATGTGGGTGAATATTGAAATAAATCCTTTTGTTTTATTCATGCTAAAAATATTCATTTTATCCCTCACGACAAAGCCTTGTAATATCTTTATGAATTCCTTAATATTAAAATAAGCATCACTTTGTTTCCTTTAAAAATTATTTTATTGAGTAATTGGGTTTGGGTAAGAAATGAGCCTAAATGATTAGCAAAATATGATGATTCTAGAACATTCCTACCCTAGACACTGGAATGTGTGGGTAACTCTGTTGTTGAATGGGTCTCTGATTTGGGGAACAAAAACTGTAATAAAATTACTACCAGGACTCTAGCTCTGTTTATGTGAATAGCATTTTTATCTGTCTGATTTGAATGCAAATGCATTATTAATATTTTTCTTCTTTTTAATACAGGTGGAAAACAGACCAAAATATTATGGAAGAGAGTATGTATTATGCTATTCTTTGTTTTAATAATATAATAACTAGTCAATTCATATGTCATTTAAATATAAATATTAAAAATTTTTTAAAATAAGATCATCAAATGTCCATTGTGCAAGAGTTTAGCAATAATGATAGATGCAGCCGGCCCCCTTTGTGTGTTTTTCCTGTGATGTTCAGGTGCAGCTTCTATTATGTGGGAGGGAGGCTCTCCCGCTACCTTCTCTCTGCTGAGAGCCTGCAGGTATTTGCAACGTAAAAGCCGCATTTCCCATAACTGAGACTTTGATCATATTTTATTTCACGTTCTCTCTCAATGTTATATAAACATTTAAGGTGTCCAAGATGGTCAACTGTAGCTGAACTCCTTCCTTGCATGTCCCTCAGTAAATGCAGTCCTCAGGAAAGTCACCCCCAAGTCTCCATAGTCTCATAAAACCAAATGAACATTTCTCTTGACTGTATTAGCTGAATTGCTTAATATCCTCATTAGTATTTCCTCCCATTTTCCTCCTAATTTCTAGTCTTGTTTTGCTTTACTTGCTCAGAAACCTACTGCAAAACAAACACACATCACTGTGTGGTCTTTAAGCCTGTGGCCTAGGGAACAGCTTGCAGGGGCAGGCAGGGCCGTCTGAAGGGGGCACCTATCAAACCGCTCTCCTCCCACATTCAGCCTAGAGGCTGTTAGGAGGCAGAGTCTCCTTCAAGCCCACCTCCCCAGCTCTCCTGACCAATCCAAACCCTTCTTCCTCCATTCCCTTACCCATCAGAGCTTCATCTTCATGATTAATGACCCTCTGATGTGTCCCAGCCCCCAGCCCCTTCCTAATTGCCATGGCTGCGTTTCTGAGCCTTCCTCCCTGACCTTGGGGAATTCCGCTGCACCTCTGGAAAACCAGCGGGAGCCCTGGCCGCTCTCATCCATCCCCGTGTCCCCAAGGTCCCTGACGTCGAGTCTAGTTAGTTGTATGTAGTGTGCCTTCTTTTTCGTCAATATGCTGATCTGGATTTTTCTTGCAAAACAGCACAATTTATGAAGCAAGAGAAACTGGAAACCTACGTTGTACTTCTCAGATGGAACACTGCCCTACATCAGTTCCCAAAGGAACTCCATCTATTGTGCAGATTTTATTTTTTCATAAAAGTTTTGTTGAATGACCCTCTCGTTGTCACCCAAGCCCCGTAAACTCTCTAGTGACAGGAGACCCAGTGAACATGTTCTTAACCACGGAAAAGGAGCATGTATTAGAGGGAAATTCAATTCAAAACTTCACATTCTGCATTTGCCTGTCTTTTTTCCAAAATGAAAGGCTTGTGGGACTTTTTTGTAGTTGTTGTTCTATTCAAAAAGTAGTACAAGAAACACCTTTTTTCTCTAGTCAAGAAACACCTTTTTTCCCCCTAGAAGGAATCACCAAAAACAAAAAAACAAAAAACGGTTGACAATGGTACCTATAGGGAAAGAGAATTTTTACTTCTGTACTATTTTACAGCTTTATTTTGTTAGTGTCTTTAACTTTTGAATTTTGAATTTTTTCATTGAGCAGAGTATTATTTTTGTCCTTCAAACGTTAGTTAATGAATCCCTTCTAATTTGGGGAAATTAGGAACCACAGGAACCTAGACCACGGTGAACGTTTTCTCTTTACCTCTTTCCTTCCGGTCTCTGGGCTGGCTTTCTTTTCCCAAGTCGGGACCGCGAGATAGACACATCGTGCATATTTTTAAATCTATGCATAAAGGGGATGATAAGCCTCAGACCGGGTCCTCAGGTTCACAAAACTGCGATTTTCTTTTTTTGAACAACTGAATTTAATTTGGTTCTTGAATCTCTCCGTCGGCGGCTGGCCATCACTGAAAGTTGTCAGTTCAAGGGAATGGAAGCTTACTGCTTTCAGGTTAACTGCCTGTTGGCTGTTCCTCCACCCCAGGAGATGGCATGGGGCAGGGGCACTAGGTCCTGCGCCTTCCTCTGTGTGCATCGTCCTGTTGTGGTCACCCTGCCTGCCTTCCCCTGGCCAATGGTCACACAGTCAGAGTGTGTCCTGGACATCCCAGCCTCCAACCTCTTGTGGTACCAGCTTTTGTCCTTTCTTACTCCGTGGAAAACTTCCTATTGTCTGATGTCCCTTCTCTCTGCACCCCACCCCCAAGTGGCCAATATCAGGTCACCTTGCCTGGCTGTCTGTCCAGCCCTCTCTGACCCCAGCTCATGCCACATAGGAGGCTTCCCCAGGAAGTTTGCAGGGTCCAGTGGCCACACTCAAAATCCAAGCCCCAAACGTCTCTGCTCAGCGCCAGGATCCCCAAGAACCAACCCACCAGTGGCAGTCCCACTGTGCTCTGCAGGGGCCACTTGGACCCCCTGAGCCTGGCTCTGCACAGATCCCTCCAAATCTCCCGCTAGAACTGGCCACAGTGGTCTCCTTCTGAGCAGGAGGGTTGCTCTTAGGTGGCACATTGAAAAGCACTGCTCCAAGATCCCCATGCATTGTCCTCCAACCCAATCCTTGCATTCCTGGGGAAAACAAAACAAAACTTCCCTTCTAGCTGACGTCCCTCTCTCCCCTCCCCCTTCCAGGAAAGAACATTTTTCAAACATATCCCCAAGCTATTGCTCTCAAAATGTAAGGAAATAGAAAACAGTTGATTGTATAGCTGGCTATTCTTTCCAAAGAATGAGCCTCTGAAATTGACACCCCGCACCTGAAGTAAGCAGGTTGCTGATCAATACGTGTTCATTTGCGATCAGAATAATACATAGTTCTCTGTGTCAGAGCCGAGATCTAAACTGGTCATCGCTCTTTTGTTACTCCCCTTGGTTTAAAAAGGAGCCATGACCTGGCGTTTCGTTTCCATTTTAATTGTCAGCTTGTGAGCAAAAACAGTAGCAGAAAGCCAGGTGGACTGCGTGTTCCGCATTTTGTCTGGCCTGGTGAAAGCTTAGTGTGCGTGTGGGTGCGTGCCTGGGGGCAGCCCCAAGATCCACAGTAGCCACTTCCCTTTTCGCCCAGGTGGGGGGCAGAGACCTAGGTGGCCCCGTCACCTTTTTAGCCATCTCTTCGTGGCCCATGCTTTGTGTGTGGTCTGTTCGGAACGACGTGGTCTCTGTGTCCGCAGGTTCCACGGGATCATCTCCCGGGAGCAGGCTGACGCGCTCCTGGGCGGCGTGGAGGGCGCCTACATCCTGAGAGAGAGCCAGCGCCAGCCGGGATGCTACACGCTGGCCCTGAGGTGAGCCCGGCCTCTTTCCGAGTGACCCCACTTCCTTTTCCCATTGTTAAATCGCTGTAAAATACCCATAGCGTAACACTGACCACTGTCATTCTTTTTAAACGTGCAATGAGTGGTATTAAGTCTATTCCCAATGCTGTGCAACCATCTCCGTATCCCTTCCGAGACGTGTGCTCACCCCAGAGGAAACTCCGAACCTACTAAACAATGACTTTGCACTCTGCCCCCCACCCCTTGGTTTTCGCTTTTACGTGGTTTACACGCGCCGGCAACGTGGCAACGTATCAGAGGCTGTACGTTCCCTGGGCCACAGGTGTTATCAGCAGGCTGGACACTGAGGCGCTGTCCACACGCAGCAACTGCAGAATTTTCTGGAACGTTGGCACTCCTTCCGCCTGAGACACTGAGACAGCCGAGGGAGAAAGGCTTCGGCCTCAGCGGGTCCCCAGCTGCCACGTGGAGCGGATCTTTCTAGCTGTCCCCAGCTGTCCTTGTCGGCCGCCTCCATCTCACTTTGTGTGTGTGCCCGAGCGGGCGTGCAGTTTGTCCGTGGCATTCTCTCAACGGGCACATTGACCCAGAGGCCTCCCGTGGCTTTCCGATGCCCGTGCCAGCAAGCCACCAGAGCCGAGAGCTCCAGGGCCTTTCGCCACCAAGGCACGGGCACTGGGAAGCGCTCCGAGGCATGTCCTGCACTCTCCTAACCTCGAGCAAGTATTTTACGTCACCTGATCCTCCGAGGTTTGGGGAAGGAATCCGATCTCAGAATTGGATTGTCTTTCAAAACACTCATTTGGTGAACCCTTTGGCGTTGGGGAGGCCTTTCTCCACAGAGGGGCCGGTATCGATGGAAACACTTCCCCAGCTCACCCCCAAACGTGTGTTCAATGCGGCCCCCTCGATACTGTGTCTGTAGAAAGATCCGCTCCACGTGGCAGCTGGGTACTTCGAGCTCCGGCGCTCTCGGCGTGCACAGCACTTGCCCGTCTTCCCAGCTCCCAGCAGCAGAGGCTGGCAGTCCCCAGGGGGCCAGGCAGGAACTGTCAGACACAGGACCGAGGCCAGGAGGGGACAGCCAGTGTGAAAGGGAGAGGATGCTGTGAGCTAGATCACTGGGGTGCAGGCAGTGGCTCAGGCGGGGAGCTTGGCACAGGTGCCCTCACCTTCCTTCAGCTGCACTAATGGGGCGGAGGCATGAGGTGCTCTGCCAGCGAGGGCAAAGCTGCCAGAGGAGGGGACATCAGGGCCAGTGGTGGCAGCTTTGCGTGCAGACCTACTTGCCGGGTACAGGGGAGGGGGCCTGGGACGTGGCTAGTTCTCTTTAAGAAACTTTGTAAGAAAGTCAGTATGTGCAAATCAGTTGCTACCCTCTGACTTTTACAAATGAGAATGATAAGGACCCCATGGCCTTAGTGGTTTCTAGGATTAAATGACACCATGTGACAGGCTGGGGTTAAATTCTACCTCTGCCCCTTTCTGGGAGTGAGTGTAGCCTCCAAGGGTACCCCGTCTCTTCAAGTCTCCATTTTCTCAGGTGCAAAACAGGGAGAGTGACTGGACCTGCCCCCGGGTCTCTGCGATAACTCAGTGGGGGCGAAGCCGTGTCAGGTGCTTAGCCCAGGGCCTGGCACGCGGGACGTGCTCTCAAAACGCTGGCGACTCCTGCCGCTCACGGCCTCTTTCTAACCCTGCTGCGATGCCTCCTTCTCCCTCGGCAGGTTTGGAAACCAGACCTTAAACTACAGGCTCTTCTACGATGGGAAACACTTCGTGGGCGAGAAGAGGTTCGAGTCGATTCACGACCTCGTCACAGATGGCTTGATCACTCTGTACATAGAAACGAAAGCCTCTGAGTACATTTCCAAAATGACCACAAACCCCATCTACGAACACATCGGCTATGCCACTCTGCTCAGAGAAAAGGTGTCCAGGAGGCTGAGCAGGTCTAAAAACGAGTCAAGGAAGACAAGCGTCACGAGCGAAGAACATACCACAGTTGAAAAGGTAAGGCACGCGTGTGATGGAAACTCTATGCTGGAAAAACCGGGTGATTGATTTACATGTGATTTGCTGAAATGTTGGAGGAAATCCACCCCCTCCCTAAGAACTCTAGAGTTTTAGTGCTAAAAGGGACCTTAGAAGTCTTCCAGTTCAACCCCCTCGTTTTACAGAGGAGGAAACTGAGGCCCAGAAATGTTCGGTGATTTGCCCAAACTCATACGGTCAGATCCAGAAGTCCCACAAATAATTATCTGAGGGTTTATTTGGAATTTGAAAGGAAAACAAACACCTCCATTAATGTTGTATGATGACAGCAGTCACCTGTTTTTAACTGCCATTCGAGGCGTTACTGGCTCCATCCAGAGTGGCACCCAGCTGGCCAAATGCACGCGTTTTGTGGCGGCTCCTCGGAAGACGGGTGTCCACACGTGCTCAGCAGGTCAGCCGTCTCTCCAAGGTGGTCTTACCTAGATGGCAGATTTTAGTGACACTGATGGGAGCCTTGTGGGTGATGATGGGTCTCTGGGAGGCTTTGAAAGACAAGCTGTCTTTTGCCCAGTGAAAGAGGATGGAAAACTCCGGCCGGGGTGAGCGCTCAAGCTGTGGCAGGCTGTGGGAGGGAGGTCGGCTTCTCCTCTCCGGTAGCTGCTGTGTGTTTGGAAGACCAGCACAGTTCGCTAGCAGACTTTTTGGATGTGCCCCTAAAGGAACCATCTGCTTTGCCTGGTCCTATCTGTTTTCCACCGACAGAAAGTGACAGCCGGCCGTGCCATCAGCCCCCCTGAGTCTGTGCTGGGCACAGCTTCTAAGGCGAGCTGGGACTGGGGCAGATATAAATAATCGGGGCAGAACCCTGAGCACCGCTCCTTCTGGTGGTTGATAATCCTTAATTAAACCGGAACGGCACCCCCCGCCCCCGTTGTCCAGTGTCCGTGGAAAGCAAGGGAACCTCGGGTGGACAGATTGGGCTTTGGCTTTGGCAATGGGGATGCACCAGGAAGCACTGCGGGGGAGGGGCTGGGGGTGTTGGCAGACAGGGAGATGGTTTTAATTGATTTGCTAATTGAGTTTGAGAGCCTTGGAGAACCTTCCCTAAAATCACATCCGTTGAGCAGCTGACCCATGAAAACATCATTTGCTGCTTTCTCCTTGTAACGCCAGTGTCTCCCAAGCACCTGTTTATTCTTTTACAAATAATGGATGTGGGAAATGGTGGGGTTTCTGATTGTTCACCTTCTCACAAAAGAGAGAGAGGACTTGAGCCCCAACTTTCCGTTTGTTCCGGTCCGGCGAGAGCCCATTCTGAGTCTGTTTGCAGAATCTGTTCCCAAGTAATCTCGAATAGAACATCCGAATGCTGACCTTCCCGGCGTGACAAATCGGAAGATGAATTGTAAACTGAATCTCTGAGCAGTGTTGATATTTCTGAATCAGAGCGCAATGCCACCCAAAGGGACATCTGTGGGCCTCGCACTAGTGTCTCCAGGAGAAGAGGTGACGGGCGGTATTTGAGATGAGAGTTTAGAGCCCAGGGTACCAGAATCTCTCCTCGAGGGCAGTGTGGTCAGTAGACACCAGTACCTCTGGGTGATATTTCTATAAGGAAACATTTGTGACAAAATACGTACTTCACTAGAGATCATCTTGTATCCATTTACTAAATTTCAAATTTGGAGAAAATGAATGACCAGATTACGAATCCCTTTGAATGAGCCGCCAGGAACAGAAAGAAAGGTCGAAGGAAGAAGTCCGGCTCAGTGAAGGGTTTGGTGGACAGGTGTCGACGGTGCGGATTTTCTTGGACACTAATGATGCAGTGTGTGGCTTTCCTGGGGGACGCTCTGAACACTGGTCTGGTCACTGGCTGGCGGTCACTCGTTTTATTACTGGGTTTGTTAAGTAAGTTGGAACAGATACATCCATTTCTCTCTGACCCGTATTGACAAGTGGAATTATTAAAAGTCTCAGTCTTGCCAGAAATTCTGTTTCCCTGAAGGGCATGTCAGTGGACCGTTGCCATGGAGGCGGTGACTAGAAACGAGGTGGCAGAGACTTGAATAGATTGACTGAGAAGCGCCTGGGGCCCCTGTCTGCTTCGGTAATGGCATATCTTGAAGCTTCTAATGAGTGACATGTGTAAATTTTCTAACAGTTCTCATATTCGGGCAGCCCGGCATTTCATCTTCCGGAGTTCTGAAACTTGGTTCACCCACTTGTTTTATTGATCATTTCCCAATAATTCAGAGAGACCAGGTTACCTGTAAATCCAAGAATGTTAACGGTATTAATTAGCAAAGAGTTACTACCTAGCCCACTGGGTTTGAGTGGTTTCCAGATGTATCCTCTGTCAAGGTGGTCAGCAGTGAACTTGATTTTAATAACTGTAGATGAGGTGGAGAGAGGGAGAAGGTACAAGAAAAAGTGATGGTGGTTAGCCGGCAGCTCTCTGTTTTCTTTCTGATTCTTTATAAAATTGATTTTTAAAAAACAGCATGCCACATAAGGGCCACCATTTGGTGTGTTTAATGAGAATGATCATTGCCCAGTGTAGTTTCTTTTATGAAATTTATTTCAAAATGTATCCCATAGATGGAGTGTCTACTGACCTCCCCAAATGGCACTGTGGGCAATATAAGAGTTGTCATGGGATCAGACATCTGTGGTTCATAAACAGATGTTACATGTGTGAAATAATTTCCCGTTTTATGCCCAGAACAACTCTGCCAGGCACAGAGGGCCGGGATCATTCTCACCATTTCACCGGACACGTCACAGTGGCGGGGGAGGGCGTCCCAGCCAGGCTCTCTAACTCCGAGGACAGCTTTTTAAATCCGCGGGGCAGCCGGGCCCCTGTCTGCCCTTGGTGCTTTGAGCTCCTGACCATCCGAGGTCAGTTTGTGCTAAGCATCACTTGATAATGACGTGATCTGTTTTTGAAAAGACTCGGCTGTTACCAGCTACCATCACTAAACTGTCTTGTAAAGTATACCCTGCTGAATCAAATATATGGGACAACAATGTTTCCAACAGCACATTTTTATTAAAGCAATCTGGTCTGCCATATTAAACTGCATTTATGTTTTACTGGAGAAAAACCATGTGCTATGATAAAAGCCCACTGAAGAATATGCTATCTTACCACTTTATTCAGTTCGCTATTGTCTGTAACAACAAAAGTTAGAAAACCACCTAAATGCCCATCAGCTGGGCACTGCTCAGGTGAGTGATGGCACATCCGTGTAACGGAATAGCTGTAACCACAGAACGGGGGGGAGGGGCTCAGGTGGGCGGATATGGAAACACGGCCCTGGGTTAGTCCATGAAAAGGAACTTGCAATATAGTGTGTGTAGTAAGGGTTCATTTGTGTAGACCAGCAAAAATGATTTTACATCGTTTTTCTTGCCAAATCACAAAATACCCATCAGAAGATGCAAGATCAGGTATAGTAGGAGGGGAAGGGAGGGTCTGAGGGGCAAGTGTTGAAGGAGACACGCCACTGGTATGTACTCTCTGTACTGTAAGCCATGACGAATACAGTGTCCTGTTCCAAAATTAAACAAGAAAGAATGTGTTAGATCTTAAGTTCACATACATTGACGCAAACCCTCAGTAAGCATCTCTATTCAACGTATCACATGTGCTCACGTGCACACACACACACACACACACAGAGCATGCAGTTCCGGCCCCCTCTCTCTGATAGCTCATCCCCTTCCTCGTCCTGATAGCTTTCTTCCTTCATCCCTCCTCATTTAACAGCCTGGTACTGAAGGTCGGGGCTAGATGAGGGACTAGAATGACCAAATGCAGAGTGCCAGGTGACTGTCCCAGGAAGTGGGCTGGCTGTTCCTTCCTCTCTGGCATTGCCCCCTCACCCACTGATGGTCCCCTCTACAGGGCTCCCCTGGGACCATCCCAGCCACCCCATTTTCCACATCCTTCCCCCGCCCCACCGCTCCTCTCTCAAGCGCCAAGGACCGACTCTCAGGGTCCGCTTGTTTCCCTGTGACAGCAAGGAAGCCTTGGGTCTGCACCTGCCCCACCTTCAAAGCAGAAGCATCACCTTTTGTGGACGGAAGGGCTTTGAGCCGGGTTGGGAGCCGTCCTTTACAGAGGGCTGCTTCAGAGAGAACCCATCGGTCCCAGCGTGTTGTTCTTTTCCGAAATAATTACTTTCTTTAAATCCAAGGTGATCCTTTCATCACTCACTCGTCTGTGTGCACCAGCTGAACACGTGCCCCCCCCCTCCCAGCCCTCTGCCTGTCCTGGGGTCACGGAGCCGGCCACCAAGGAATTCTCAGCAGGGTTTGAGCTCAGACTGGGTCCTTCTCCCCTGAGGGCACCTGAGGGCCCCCTCTGTGGCCTTTCACGCACCGCAGTGTTGCGCTTGCTGCTGTTTTCGTGAGAAACGTCCTGATTTGCTTTATCTGCAGGACAAGGCTCCTAATCCTCACCCAGAGGGGCAGCTGGTCGGAGCCGGGCCTGCCCAGGCAGCAGAGCATGAACCGAGGCTCTGGGCCACATTCGGGGAGGCATCCTGGCTGCAGGGGGCAGGCTGGGAGGGGAGCAGGCCGGGAGAGCAGCCAGGCGACATGCACATTACTGAGCCCACAGGCCCTTCCGCCCTTGGAACTGTTCCCCGGGGAACTGAGGAGGTGTTTATCCGCCACCTCCTGTCCTCTGCTGGCCGAGGGGTGTTGTGAGCTGGTAACCCTCCCACACAAGCTGCGCATGCAGAGCGCCAGGTGGGTGACCATGGCATCCCGGGCAGCTGTCAGAGGGTCCCTGGGCAGAAAGTTCCAGAAGGCAAGTGCTACTGCAATCCTGGGTGGGAGGTGGACGAGCAGGTGGCGAGGGGCACTCACCAAGTGCCAGAACCGCCCACGACAGCCCAGCCCACCCTTCCCAGCCTGTCTTCCAGCTGCTGTACTCCCTACCTGCCTGTGGTCCATGACACCCTCCTGCCCGCGCCGCCCCCCCTCCACCGCGCCGCCCCCCCTCC